TACCGACTTTTGAAGAGAAAAACTATTTGTCGGTGGTTCAACATACAGTTCCAGAAACTTCGGATGGCCAAGTCGATATATAAACCAAAGGTTTTCCATTGAGAAGTTTAGATACAATCTTATATTATTCCACTACAATGGCAGCAAGTTCATTCATATATTAGTTGCGTTACATGTGATGTATTTCCAATATTTTTATCTAAAAAGTGGAGTAGTCTGATTATGAATGTTGCGTAAATRGTGGATTGAAAAATGTCGACTTATCATTGTCTTCAGCCTTAGAGTATTGTGTAATGTTATGTATGAAGAGATTCGTACATAATTGAATTATTTTATTTGTATGAATTTGGTAAGAAAATTATATAAGAATCGTTTCACTCTGGGTTCAGGGTTAAAGTCTAGCTTAGTCGGTAATAGCCGACTTGAGCACTCTTAATTATTTTGTACATTTTTTAAGTTTTTAGTTGCTTTCGGTTTTAATCGAAATTGGTCCAAAAACAATTAAAGTTTTTTCACCACTTTTTTCTTGTTCTTTTTAATTTCAATCAAAACTGAAATGAGTTGGTTAAACTTTATGAAATTTACAAACATTAAAATCAAATGGAAATATATGCATTTAATTTGTGATATTGCATTATTTTTAGCTAATTGATTTGTTTGAATAAATTTAAGTTTTGTATTTATAGTTTATTTTGACATATTTTTTTGTGTATATTTTGCATTAAATTTGTTTGCTATATACATTTTACAATACACGCTTTTTAATATATTAGTTAATATATAGTTATATATGTATACACATTCATATATATATATAGAACTTTGCTTATACATAATTAACAATTTTAAAATTGCTCACCTGATTTATGTTTACATTTCGATTTGCCACAGTGCTTGCTTTTCATTAATGTAGGTAATTTGTAATTTCTCTATGCCTATTTAACGCATTCTGATTTGCTTGTTGTTCTTTAACGTTTAAACATTGTCTTTTAATTAAACATTTGTTTGCAATTCGTAATTGTAATTAAATTTAAAATTATTTTACAATGTATATATGTAAATTGCTATAATTTGAATGAACATATACGTATATGTTTGCATTCATATACATATATGTACAAGGTTTGTTTCAGTTGTGTTTTGCTTTGCTTTTAATGTATATTTACAATTATCGTTTTTATAACACATGCACTTTGAACTTTTCTTTGCGAGTCTTTGAGAGGCTGAGGAAGTGAGCTTTGCTCTCTGCAATCTCTCTTCCCCCTTTTATCGGARAGCAGGTTTCATTTGACATTTCGCACGCACGACAATTACAGTTAGAGTTTCACATGCGTATGTGTGGGGGTATCTGTATTTAAAAACATTCAAATATATATATATATACATATACTATATCAAATATATATATATATCGTGAAATTGTGCTAATTTGAAACAGTGTGTGCGCGTGTGCGTGTGCCTGCTTACATACATAACATTTATGTGTGTGTATAGAAATGTATAAGTGTATATAKTAGGCTGGTTAGAACACAGACTCCGCTGAGCGGGACAGGTTGACGGGATGCGAGGGACTGCGCGCCAAACGCTTCTTTGGCAAATGCTCCAATAGGGAAAGTAGGCGTGCAAAATCTGGCCTATGCTCCTTCTCGTAGGTCCAGCACAGCATCAACAGGTCCTTGACATCGCGACCAGATTGTAAATTGGCTAGCGATTGCTTCATGCCCCGCCCCACCTGCCAAATGATTGACTCTGCCGGTTGATCCTTGAACGTGAACTCGCCGCAAATGAGCTCATACCAAACGGTCCCAAAAGAGTACACATCAGAATAGGACGTGAATTCTAAGCACTCACCAGCCGGCTTTCTGGGCAGCAGCGCTCGTATCAGTTCCGGGGCCAAGTAGCACAGCCAATTTTGTGGAACTCCCAGCCCCATATCACAGTACAGCAGCTTTGTGGAGCTGAAGAGGCCAAAGTCCGTGATGATCACCTTGCCGTTCTCAATGAAGATGTTCTTGGTGCGCAGATCCTTGTGTATTATATCCCTAGCATGCAAGTAGCCCATTCCCTGCGCAATCTGTTGGGCAATCAGCAGCGTGCGGTTCATTGCGAATTTTTCCCGTCGCTGATGTATGTAAGTGTAGAGCGTGTTGCCTTTGCATAATGATGTGACAATGGCCAAATACGGCGGATTCATGCAGGCTCCCATGAATAGTACCAGGTTCTCGTGCCGCGTCTTCTTGAAATTCGCCACCTCGTTGCGAAATGATTCCARCATGTGTTCGTCCTGTAGATAGTCTTCATTGAGTAGCTTTACTGCGACATCACCATGCCACAAGGCTCGATGCACAGTGCCGAAGCGTCCTTGCCCAATGCGTTCCATCAAGTGCAGATCACCATAGGGTATATCCCATTCCTTTAACGATATAGAGTTCTGGCGCCATTGGCCCGAGTCCCCATCTTCAGTTGAGTCCAAGCGCACAGGCGTGCGATCCGAGTCGGTGCTGGCACTCCCAGACAGCGACACCGTCTTATCACTATCGTTCGACTTATGGGTGTCCGTGTACTCGCTAGTGAAGGGGGTGCGCTTGTCCACACCCGCATTGCTCAGTTTGCGGGGAAAGAAGCTGTCGCTGTTCACCAGGCTGGCCGTATAGGTGGCCGTGCTTCCACTGCTCAAATTCGACGCTTGCGAAGCAGCCGAATGGGTTGAGGCTTGACTGCCAGTCAGGGAGTGGATCAGACCATTGGAGCTGCTGCTGCTGTTGTTATTAGTGCTGGTGGTGTTACTGCTATTTGTGGAGCTGCTGTTGTTGTTTCCGTTGGTTAGGGGCTCTCCTGTGCTCATGTGGGGTTGCGAGTCATTGGATATCAGCGTTTGGGCTGCACTCGCATTGCTATTGCAGGMATTGATGCTAGTGATAGTCACGTTCGGGAAATTGAATTGACTCTGCTGACCCTGTTGTCCACCCGCTGTTCCACCAGCAGGTGCAGGCTTCTGCTGGCAGGCACTGGGCGTGCCTAGTTGTTGTTGCTGCTGCTGCTGCTGGAATAGTGCTGGACTGCTGGGCGTGGAACTGGTGCAGCTTGAGCTTGGTGAGCTGCTGTCTCCATGCTGTAGCTGCGGCTGCTGCAATTGCGGTTTGCCTAGCGTATTCTTTTTTGGCACTGGTGACATTTTACTGCCGCTGTGCTGGGATGGGTCCCATCTGCCGCCCACTTGAGTTTGGCGAAATTCGTGAATATATTCAGGCGGAAGACCACATGAGGGCGGCACATGCGGGGCGCAGGATTTGTGGCAAATATATTTGCAGTCAGTGCACTTTAGCCAATGGCTCAACATCTGTTTTTGGCATAGTTTGCAGGTGGCGCGTATGCCGAACCAATAGCTAAAGCGATGTTTAATGGTATGACCCATGCCCACGTGTGCCACACCTGGCGAGGGCGGCACTAGCAACACATTAGAGCTGCCGATGCTACTAGAGTCTACAAAATTGTCTGAGCTRCTGGCCGAGCTATGGCTGTCGGGGCTTGGATCTGTGGGCAAGCGGTTACGCGGCGGCCTTGGTGGTTGCTCCGTTATTCCTACATCGGAAGCGCTGCTATTATGCATTAGTAGCGTTTGATGCTTCTTGGCGGGAGGTGGCGTGCCAGCAGCTGCTGCGGTACTACAGCTGCGCAAAGGAGTTCCGCTGGCGGATACCGTGCCGGA